AAAAACAGAAGACCCAAATAAAAAAAATCAGAAATGAAAGAGGATAGGTCACCTGGGTGGCTCAGTTGGTTAAGTGCCTGACTTCGCGAAGCCCAGGTCATGATCTTGTGGTTCATGAGTTCGAGCCCTGTCAGGCTCTGTGCTGACGGCCCAGAGCCTGGAACCTGCTTCTGATTCTGTGTCTCCCCCTCTCTCTCTGCCCCTGCCCCACTTATGCTCTGTCTCTCAGAAATTAAAAAATAAATAAATAAATAAACATTAGAAATGAAAGAAGAGAAGTAACAATCAGAACCACAGAAATACAAAGGATTATAAGAGACTATTATGAAAAATTATATGCCTACAAATTGAACAATCTAGAATAAATAAATTAAATTCCCAGAAATGTAGTCTTTCCATACTGAATCAGGAAGAAATAGAAAATCTGAACAGACCAATTACTAATGAAATTGAAGCAGTTATCAAAAAACTTCCAGCAAACAAAAATCTATGACCAAATGGATTCACTGGTGAATTCTTCCAAACATTTAAAGAAAAGATAATACCTATTCTCTTCAAACCATTCCAGAAGTGTGGAAGAGGAAAGAAAACTTCCAAGTACATTGTATGAGGCCACTACCCTCATATCAAAACCAAAGGCACAAAAAAAGAAAATTACAGTCCAATATTATTGATGAACATAGATTCAAAACTCCCCAGCAAAATATTAGCAAATTGAATTGAATTTTCAATTGCACATGGAACATTGTCCAGGATAGATCACACATCAGGCCATAAAACACAATTAAAAGAGGGTGCCTGGGTGGCTTACTCAGTTAAGCATCCAACTTCAGCTCAGGTCATGATCTCACGGTTCGTGGGTTCGAGCCCCATGTCGGGCTCTGTGCTGACAGCGAGCTCAGAGCCTGGAGCCTGCTTCAGATTCTGTGTCTCCCTCTCTCTCTGACCCTCCCCTGCTCATGCTGTGTGTGTGTGTGTCTTTCTCTCAGAAATAAAAAAGAGATTTAAAAAAACACAATTAAAAGTACAATTCCCCATGGTGCTCCTGGGTGCCTCTCGGTTAAGCATCTGACTTCAGCTCAGGTCATAATCTCGCAGTTCATGAGTTTGAGCCCCGTGTCTGGCTCTGTGCTGGCAGCTTGGAGCCTGGAACCTGCTTCAGATTCTGTGTGTGGCTATCTCTCTGCCCCTCTCCCCTTAGTGCTTGCTCTCGCATGCTCTCTCTCTCTCTTTCCCTCTCCCTCTCCCTCTCCCTCCCTCCCTTCCTCACTCCCTCTCCCTCCCTCCCTCAAAAATAAACAAACATTAAAAAAAAATTTTAAATACAATTCCCCATGATCAAGTGGGATTTATGCCATGGATGCAAGCATAGTTCAATATTTGTAAATCAATCAATGTGATATATCACATTAACAAAATGACATATGATAATCATAGTCATTTTAATGTTTGCAGATAAAGCACCTGACAGAATTAAACACACATTTATGATTAAAAACTCTCAACAGAATAGGCTTAAATTTAAGGAAGGTATTCCAGTAAAGACCATGTATGACAAACCCACAACTAACATCATACTCAGTGGAGAAAGTTAAATTTAGAGCTTTTCCTCTAAGATTGGGAACAAAACAAGGACATCTACTGTTGCCAGTTTTATTCAACATAGTACTGGAAGTCCTATCTACAGCAGTCAGACAAGAAAAAGAAACAAAATGCATCCATTATTGGTAAGGAAAAAGTAAACTGTCATAATTTGCACCTAACATGATGCTATACATAGAGAGCCATGGACTCCACCAGCAAAACTATTAGAATTAATAAATGAGGGGCACCTAGGGCACATTAATAAATGTGGTGCAGTCTGTTATGTGTCTGACTTCAGCTCGGGTCATGATCTCATGGTTTGTGAGTTTGAGCCCAGCATCAGGCTGTCTGCTGTCAACACAGAGCCTGTTTTAGATCCTCTGTCCCCCTCTCTCTCTGCCACCCCTCTGTCCCTCTCTCTCTGCCCCTCCCCTGCTTGTACTCTCTCCCTCAACAATAAACATTTTTTAAAAGTAAAAAAATTAAAATTAAAAAAAGAATAAATGAATTCCATAAAGTTGCAGGATACAAAATTAATATGCAGGAATCTGTTGCATTTCTATATACTAACAAGAAAGTAGCAGAAAGAAAAAGAAGACCACTCCATTTACAGTTACACCAAAAAGATTAAATACCTAGGAATAAATTTAACCAAGAAATTGAAAGACTTCTACTCTGAAAACTACTTTCATTAATGAAAGACCTCAAACAATCTAACCTTACTACTTTGATGAAAGAAATTGAAGATGACACAAACTGAAAGATATACCATGCCCATAGACTGGAAGAATTAATGTCCTTATTACCCAAAGCAGTCTGTAGATTCAATGCTATTCCTGTCAAAATACCAATAGTATTTTTCACAGAACTACAACAAATTGAAAATTTGTATGGAACCACAAAAGACACTGAATAGCTAGAGTAATTTTGAGAAATAACAAAGCCAGTGGTATCACAGTCCCAGATCTCAAGATATACTGCAAAGTATATGGTACTGGCTCAAAAATAGACACACAGATAATTGGAACAGAGCGGAGATCCCAGAAATAAACCCATACTTACATGGTCAACTAATCTATGACAAAGGAGGCAAGAATCTGCAATGGGAAAAAGACAGTCTCTGTAGTAAATAGTGCTGAGAAAACCGGATAGCTACATGGAGAAGAATGAAACTGTACCAGCGTCTTACAGCATACATAAAAATAGACTCGAAATGGATCAAAGACTTAAATATGAGACCTACAACCATAAAACTCCCAGAAGAAAACATAGCTTGTAATCCCTTTGACATTGGTCTTAGCAACATTTTTCTAGGTATGTCTTCTTAGGCCAGGGAAACAAAAGCAAAAATAGACAGTTGGGATTATACCAAAATGAAAAGCTTTCATAGTGAAGGAAAGCATTAACAAAATGAAAAAGTAATCTAAACGGAAGAAGATATTTGCAAATGATATCTGATAAAAGGCTAATATCCACAGTATATAAACAACTTATATAAGTCAACACCAAAAAATGCAAATTATCCAATTAAAATGGGTAGAGAACCTGAATAGACATTTTTCCAAAGAGGACATACAGATGGACAACAGGCATGAGGAGATGCTCAGTATCCCTAATCATTAGGGCCACTCCCTATGAACTGTTTCTTTGGCTCCTGCACAGGCCCCAGCAGTCAGCTTCTGCCTGCCTTGGGCTTCTGAGAATTTCCACTGAACTTGTTTCTCAGAAGCCCTGCCTCTTCTTGTGCGGTGTTCTGCTCCTCTGGTTCCTATGTTTCTTGTGCCACTCACTTGTTTGCCGTCTTCACGTGCTCCCTTACTCTGCACCTCTTTGACCCGGATGAGGCACAAGCGGCTCAGATGGTGTTTGGTTTCCTCCTGCCCCTGAGGCTCACTGTCTCTGCCTCCTGTCCTGCCCTGAGCTCATGTTTCTCTCTCCTTCTCCTTCGTCTTTATTGCTGGACCACAGCAGTCACAGGTAAAAAGTTAGCTAGCATCTGAAACATGGAGTTAAGTTCCGTAGTTGTTGAACTCAAATGAACTTAACCTCAGCTAACAATACAGATGGCCTACATCAGCTGCAGGGAGGTGGGCTCGTGTGACTAGAGACCGTGAGTGGAACAGTATGGAGGTTGAGCTGCCTCATGAAGATGACATGAGGTCCAACTGGGCGGCCTCCACAGTCATCTGTCATGGCTGTACCAGCCCAGTGGAGGCCCTGGGACCAGTGGCAGTCTCTCAGCACTTAGGGTCTAGGGTGTACATTAACTCTTTTAAGTGTCTCGAGGAGGCTCATGCAGTTTCATCCACAAAGACAGACTGTGTCTGACAGAGGTTACCCACAGCATCTGGGATTCTGAGTCAAAACCATGCAATGGTAATACACCAAGAGCCACAGTAAACTCCACCTAGGCTGGTGGCCTGCCCCCCGCACCCAGCAGGGCCCATCCCAGCTGGGGTTGAAGAGAGCTAATGCTGTCATGGTATGCCCCATGGTATCCTGTGCTGCCTGTCTGCTTCAACTGCTGGTCTGAGGTGGTGGCCCTAGAATGAAGAGTCTCCAGAGCCGTGTGATAGTCCGAGGGTGGTTGGCTACCCTACCAGAAGGCCCACTGTGGCAATGGAGAGGAAGCTGACTTTTGGCTGCTGCTTGACTAATCAAATATTTGACTGAGTGGTCTATATAAACTGCCACACACAAAATGTGTATGTAGAATACTCTCAAAATCAGGGCTTCTTAATGTGCTTGTGTCTAAAAAAAATCACAGCAAACTCAATACAATTCAGTTGTGAGGTTCTCACCCTTCCCTTTTTGCTGAGCTGAAGTTCTTAGGAAAATACTTGCGGGCACCATCAACGAAGAATGTCATGAGGCTGTATTTAGCAGAACTAACAATTCCTGTGTTTCCTGCTTCCCTTGAGAATCAGGTGTTAAAACCTTAGATGTCTATTAAAAAGCAAGTGGGCCCGGGTTGCTAGCCCAAGAATGCCATTTATAAAGTTGTTTGTGTGAAAACAGGTGGCATTTTCCTTTCAGCACTTTCCAGTTCTCGTATTCGTGTGAGCCTTTTGCAGACAGGCTGCGGCATGGCTTGCCTCTGCTTCCCCACAGCAAATACTTGCACAGCTTGTGACTGGCATTCCAGGAAATGTGGGGCTTATTTGTAGCCTTTGTGAGTCTGGGGCCATTCTGTCAGAAAAGGGTGATCATTAGGAAATGACTCTGCTCCCAGGATGGCCAACCTCTGAGAACAGACTGGCTTTGCTAATCACCTTGAAAACAAAACAAGAGTCATTCAAAGCTAACTGGAATGCAGCTGCTTTTCAGGGAAGGACGGGCCGGTTGGTCCACTGGACAAAGAGATGAATTTGTCTAGTTAGTGTTTTAGTTTTCTTTCTCCCCTGTACTCATTGCAGATGGCCCCAACGGATGAGATAGGCCACGAGATTGCTGGCTTTCTTGACCAGACCTTGTACAGATGGGATCGCCTCTGCCTGGAAGCCCCTAGGCCGAGAAAACTGGCCCAGGAGCTCCTGGCTGAGCTGCATGCACACATCCAGCACCAGCCTGCTGCACGTGGAGCTGCCATGCATGCAGCAGGCTCCCCGAGGCCTCGTGATGAAACGATGAGACCAGTTCTTCGTGGAATGAGTGTTGAGGATGAGCCATAGACCTCTTGGCAAGAGCTGCAAGTACATATTTTATGAAGTGAGAAGACAAGTTCTTTAGTCCAAGCTCAGTCCGGTTTATTAGTTCATGAGTAGATTGTGCCTTGAGCATTCCCTACCTGCTCAGTCCAACTGTCAGAGAATCACTGGAGAAAAACCGTGAATAGGAGAACACTTTCATTTCCTTTTTTCCTCATATCACATGAAGATACACAACTATTACTTGAGTGGTTCAGAGTCTTTGGACCAAGAAATTGGTCATGAACCACTGATCAATTTAGAAGTAATTTAATCCTTTTCCACATACCTCTTTTTTCAGAAGTCAGGCTACTGTTATTGGTGTTTCTTTTAATCCACGGGGCTTTGAGATAAAACCACACTCTGTTGCTTCCCTAAGAAATTCTTCACTGAGGAGTCTCTCGGGCACCTCTGAGGTCAAGCAGAGGCCATCAGGCCCAGTAACAAGTGGTAGTGACCGGGGCCATTGCTCACTGGTGGGCACTCAAGCCAACCCTGCTATGGAGAACAGCACTGCTTAGCAAGGAAATAAAGCCAGTTCAAATGCTAACTCCTTTTGCTTTCTATTTGCTAAACACTCCCACTAAGAGAGCTCACATTGCCTCAGGGCTGACAGGGGAGAATATAGGCTGTGTTCTGGAAGAAGAGATTATATTTCAGTTGTCTAGTTAACTAAGGTGGGAATTAGAAATTTCTAATAAAGAATAGGTAACCCCCATATTTATTTCACATCAGTTGAAAATTTTTTCCCCTTTCAAGTTTCTTTTTTTTTTTTTTTCTTACATGGAATTAAATCATTCCAGGACCTCAGTTTCCTTTTTTCTTTTTTTCTTTAAGTTTATTCTGAGAGCAAGTGAGCAGAGGAAGGGCAGAGGGAGGAGAGAGAGAGAATCCCAAGTATGCACTGTCACTGCAGTCCTACATGGGGCTTGAACTCGAAACCATGAGATCATGACCTGAGCCGAGATCAAGAGTCAGATGCTTAACTGACAGCCACCCAGGTACCCCTCAAGTTTATTCTTCATATGCACTGATCATGTGCTCTTTTGTGTGCCTTCTATGGACCGATTCAGTCAGAACTTTTATGGCTACTTTGATTTTTGTGTTAGTAATCACTGAGTCTCCTGCAGTTTGAGCTCCTATTTGAGGTATGAGTAACATTTTGTTGTATTAGAGGTTGTGGTTTTGGTATATGGATCTACCTAAAGATCTGAAAAATTCAAGACCTTTTGACTTTTGAGAAATGTTGCAGTTTGAACAGTGTACTGATAAGATACTTTAGTCATGGCTACCAGTATTTCTACTTTCATATAAAAAGTTCTCCTCAAAATGTGTAGTAGTTCTGATAAAGGAGTTGTAGGCTTCACTTGGAGTCGAGGACATCTCTCCTATGTTGTTTGCCATGGAAGCTGTGACCAACTTCTGTGAGCATGAAGAAAGGAGTCTGCTTGGTGGCTGTGAATAGTCCCTAAAGGGAGTCCCTAAAGTCAAACTTCCTTGTGGGTATGCTCCCACTGGAAATCCAGTCACGCTGTATTCTGCAGCAAACAGTATTAACAAAACCGTTATCCACCTCAGACTATTGAAGCTGCATTTCTGGAAGTTTCCTTCCTGTCGTGACCTTACCTCAGCCTTTTTGTAGAATCTCCAGTTCCTTTACAAAGCCTTTAAGTTCTCTCAAGCCTTGGATGTGTGAGTCAGCACCTGACCAGGCTATCTGATCTGGCAGGACGTTAGTCTTCATCCCAGTGAACTCCTGGCAGCCAAGCAGTTCTTGGGTCTGAAGTGACCCTCCATCGTCTGTGAAGGTTTTCCTGAAGGGGATAGCAGACACTGATTTGTGTACTGATTTCGTTTCTCCCCTTGCCCTTTCCCACTAGCAAGAGGGGGAATGCTACACACGGGAAACCAAGGAAAACAGGACTGTTCCCCAAACTAGAGGAGCAGCTGCAAAGCCTACAGGCGGTCAGGCCCTGGTCTTTGCTTTAGATGCGGTTACCCCATCATTCCATTCATTTCTCTGAGGAAGGAACCTCCCAAGGGGCACATAGAAGGGGGTGTGCAGCAGAAAGGTGGGAAGTGACATCCTCCCCTTGACAACCCAAGAAGACAGAAGGTTGTGCTCCCGATACTCCTGAGCAAGTCCACACCCAGCCACCAATAAGGAAACCTGGTCAGGGCAGAGAAAATCAGGGGCAGGCTGAAAAGTATTTTGTAAACTCCACCTCCTCACTCAGTTGCCTTGGATTTGGGGGGAAAGTCTGGACACATGGGTATTTTTCAGTTTCTTGAAAGAAGTTCTAGCTAGAAATAGGCTCTGGTGAGAATGCACAATCAAGGCAGGTGGTGTGAGTGAAGTGAAGGCCCTGCAGGCCACTGAGCCTTGTCCTCCCTGTTGGAGAGCCAGGAGCACGGAGGCCTACAGAGTGCATTAAGCAGCAGGGCTGAGGCCCAGAGGCTGTATGTGGAGTTGACTGGGTTTCTTTCTAGCACAGGATCTGTGCCAGGCACATGCCTTTGGCTTCCGCCAGCAGAATATCCAGTGAAGAGTGGCTGAAACAGGCAATATACCTGATGATGTCTGAGACAAGAAAACTCACAGAGGTGGCTAATTCAGCCACTCAACAATGTCATGGCTGGAGGTCAGCTTCACTGGAATTCTAGCTTTTCTCTCCAAGTTCAAGAAAGCTGCCAAGCCCAGGCCTTCCTTGGACAGCCTCCAAAAAGGTTCTCGTGTCTCTCCCCGCAAGCCCATACCAGACCCTCATGTCATTGGCAGACCTGGCCACTGCAGAATGGGGCTTGCTGCCACCCTGTTGCTAAGACCATGGGCAGATTTATCGGGACACTAATGAAGCTTGAGCTTCAGGGCCTTGCACCTCCTGGCCCCTCCCCAGGCCCTGGGAGAGGCCCCAGCCGTATGCATCCATGGTCATCTGTTTTGTAAAACTTGTAAAGAGAGGTTAACTGAAACTGACAAAGATGTCTCTGTGTGCTCCTACTGTCCCCTCTTCCCCTGGGCAATGTGCATTTCTGCGATCCAGCTGAGGGAAGCCAAGTTGGTTCAGCACCACTTCAGAGCACAGTGAAGGGCCAGCTTCCAAGAATGCCGGCACCAGCCCGGCCAGTTGAGCTGGTGCTGGCCCAGGGTCCGTGGCACAGCAGAAGGGTGGCCTGTGCCACCATAGGCCCACAGGTGCACAGGAGCAACAATGAGGGAAGTGTGAGGAGTCCTTCCAAAACCTCTAGCTTGGGTCTGGGGTGAACTTGATAGAGGTTTTCAGAGATCTGACAACAGCTCTAAACTTCTGTGTTCCCCACAGCAAGTTGGGAAGGTGAGTAGAGCTTTCTAAAGTGTTAGTAATGAAGTTTTGGATAAAGGGTGCTGGAGAGACTGTGGGAATGTGTAAAATCTCTGGGCCGACGAGAGGTGATCAGCGAGGACAGAGCTGCCAAAACCTGGGGAGGAGAGGCAGGACTGGCCACCTGTTAGCGTGAAGGCTGTCACCCACTGGCACTTCCTGGCGTGTGGCATCTGTAAGCTCTTTTAAATCTGTAATTTGTCCATTATAAATAAAAAGTCCCATCACACTTGAGTTTGTATTCACTAAAGAGTACAGTCTTTCTCAGAAAAAAGCTTCCCTCCACTCCTCAATTATGAAATCTTCAGGCCACACAAAACCTGTATAGATCTATCTAGCCCTAGAAAATACCAATTTGGCGTATCCTTTGGGACTGGGAATCTTGCCATCAGATACCTACACACAGGGATCCCGTGGCCAGGGAGGAAGGTGGGGGTGCTGAAGCCAAATGACGTGCATCGTACACATCTTTTTCTTTTGTAAGCCGGATGCCCATACTACTACATAGTGTAAATGGAACTGGTTTTTACATTGTTCTTCCCTGATTCCTAAGACGGAGCTTGTCCAACAGAGCACAGCCCACACCCTCGGTGTGTGCCATTGTTTCACAGACTCATGATCTTCGTGCTGCAGCCTCCACAGGCTCCCCTGGGAGTCATGGGATGGAACCCCCCTGGCTCCATTCAGTGGCATCTGTTGGACCCAACCCACCTGGTTCTGCTGCAGCCAGACAGCTAGCATGGGCTCCCTGGATGGCCGCTCTGCCTCCTGACGTGGGCACCCTGCGCTTCTCCATCAGCCAGAGGCACATGAGCAAGCAGTGGCAGGTGGTCAAGACGTGTCTCTGAAGAAGCCCCTTGCCGAGTGGTCCTGGAATGTTTGTGTCATTGTGCGTTGTTAGCCCTTCTCGGCCCTGTTGCTCACTGGGGGGACAAGAGTGCTGGGACAAAAATGGAAGTGAGTCTAGGGGGCAGGAGAAAGCCACACCTTCTGTCACAGCGGAGAAGTCACAAGCAGGGGCTTGAAAGGGGGACCCACTATGGTGGCCAGAAACATGAGGAACATCAGAACAGAGCCTGTCCTGTTACCCAGAGGGGCAGGAGGCAAATGTGAGGAACGATGGTCCTTGTTCAAGAAGGAATGCAAATTGATTTTGCTTCCAATGAAGCAGAGACAAGAATTTTTTGTGCTTCTCTCCCTTCTTTTCCTCCCTTCCCTCCTGTTCTCCCCGCCCCGCCCCCATCAGCGGTGTTGGTGATGGGCTTTTCCCTACCGGACACTGGTTTTCACATGGATTCCACAGACTTTCCAACACTTGTCACTTATTACTCCTCACCAAGCCACTTTACTCCTAGGGAACCAAAAGCAAGGCAAAATAAAATGTGTATTGAGGCCTTCTTTTTTTGTTTAAATAGTTTATTGTCAGGTTGGTTTCCATATAACAGCCAGTGCTCCTCTCCACAAGTGCCCTCCTCCGTGCCCATCACCCCGCACCCCCATCTGCCCTCAGTTTGTTCTCAGCATTCAAGAGTCTCTCATGGTTTGCCTCCCTCCCTCTCCCCAACTATTTTTCCCCTTCTCCTCCCCCTTGTTCCTCCGTTAAGTTCCTCCTAATCCTCCTATACATGCAAACATATGGTATTTGTCCTTCTCTGCCTGCCTTATTTCACTCAGCATAACACCCTCAAGTTCCATCCATGTTGCTACCCATGGCCAGATTTCATTCTTCCTCATTGTGTTAAGGCCTTCTTCTAAAATCCAATTCCACAAATTTATACCATGAGTCAAATCCTATCCCTTATATACAGACCGGGAACAAAGTCTACAAAGCCTTTCCTTTCCCTAGTCCTGACATAATCATGATGATAACTTCCGGTACTTGGGGTTTTGGGTAGGACACTCAGACTCACTGATATGGAAAGTTTCATGTTTAACTTTTCTGTAAAAGTGTTCAACATCTCACTGGCCTCTGGTGTTTCCCTCACTATGAGGAATCCATGGATATTGATAAGGATTCTTGGTGGCAAGCAACAGGATTGGACACAATGTTGAAAGTAAAAGGAAACTGATCAAAAGTATCTAAAGCGCACAGAACTGTAGGGCAGACAGGGCTTAGTGCCAGCCAGCTAACAGCAGTGCCCAGACTCACTTCACAATGACCTGTGAGGAGCCTCCTGCTGTCACCACATAGAACCTTTGTGGCTTGTTCGTGTGAGGCCCACCACCCCCACAGGGAGACAGGCCCTGTCCCCACTCTGGGGCACCGGTGCATCTGACGGGGAGTGCACCTCCCCTAGCTGTACGTTAGC